TCATCCCCTGCACTTCTGGCCTTTACCCCAGTTCATGTATATATAAATAAAGTTTTAAAAAGTATTATGAAGTTTTGATTTTGTTGGGAGACTTTACATTTTATGATATAAATACAATGTTATGACTACATAAGTCTAAATACTGATCATATTTGTTCTAAGTGACATTTTTTCAAAAACAATAGTGAAAAGGGCATACACATCAAAAAACATATCATCACTGTGTCTGGATTGTTTTTTGTTCAACATTTTATTTGTAATATTCATCTTTATAAAGATGAAGAAAGTGGGTTGGTTGTTGCTGAGGACTGAGGGGAGATAAGAAGAGGATATGACCATCAAATTGGTTTAGTGCTTCCTTTGGGGTGATGAAAGCTTTCTAAGTACTGAGAGCAATGAAGCTACAAACCATGAATATTTTAAAATCTTTGATATATGCTCTTTGAAGGGATGAGTGTATGTTTGTAAATTATTTATTCATATAAGAACTTGGGTGTAGGCCAGAGGTGCTGGTTGTGGGGGGATGGAGGGAGGATTCACCAGAGACTGAGTAGAGGAGAAGAAAAAATGGATCTACTGAAATACACTACTGAGGGGAGCAGTGGGTAAGACAAGAGAGATCTGCTGTGCCATGTGGGTCAGTTCCCTGGTGAGCAATAAGACTTAGACCTTAACTGTGACAGTACTGAGACTTAACCTGAAAAGGTAATCTTTGCTTGTTATTGAGTTCCAATGTATCCACCTTTCTTAGGTCACCGGATATTCTCACAACTAGAAATAGTCACAGATCATATATACGTGTGTGTGTGTGTGTGTTTGTGTGTATCCATATACCCCTGTAAGACTATTTATATATATATATCAGAGTAAATTATAGCTGTCTTATTATGTTGAGTAATTTTTTATTGGGACTTTATGCTGTTTGACCATAATGCTCTTCCTCACCAGCACTGACCCCTGAGAGACAGCATCTCACAGCTATGAGGTAGTAGCTGACTGAGGTTTAGATTTGCATTTCTGTGATAATGATCATTTTGTCATATATATTTAACCTGTGTTTGGAAAGTATTTTTTCTGATCTCCCCAATTTATGGTTTAGTGAGAATTTTGGAATTTACATTTGTAATTCTGTTCATAAATACATTTAGGTTTTTATCATTTATAGCATGTATTCCTATTAAAACACAAATATTACTGAAGATGAATGGATAGTGGTACAATGTTTTAATTTGTGGAATGATGACATAATGTATTTTTTTTAATTAGAGGAAATCTAAATAGCTTATTTATGAAAAATACAATTGAAGGAAGGAATTTTAGGAACTAGGGAAGAGATGTTGAGAAGATTAGAGATTGATCTTTGTTACAGATAATTGACAATGTAGTGAGTTTTAAGAATAATTAGTGACAAACATCATTAATTAACCATTGGTAATGGAATAATGATGTTCATTTTTCTGTTATAATAGAAATGATATAATAAGGGTATAGGGAAATTATGGAATGTTAAGATTTATGCACTTTAGTTAATAGTAGAATTTAAACATCCAAGGTACTCTTCACAAGGCCTAATTTTTCAGCATTTATGGTTGCTATGGAAATAAGTTGTAAGTATAAGTGTTCAAGTGTTTTGTTCCCTGATACATTTCAGAGGCATTTGAAAATGAAAAACTTAAATGCCACCTGTAACCTATAGTCTCCCATAGTCTGGAGGTGTGTGATGAAGTGACTGTCTTCAAAATAGCCCAAGTATAACAATTTCCTGTTCAAACTGCTAGTGACACACAAATAAGAAATCTACTTTTTTCCACTCCTGCTTCACTCTGAACCCTCACAGGGCAGTTCTAGAGATCACAGACATTGTTTTTGATCACAGGTCAGAAACAACAAGTGCTGGTGAGGATGTGGAGAAAAGGGGACCCTCTTATGCTGCGGCTAGGAAGCTCTGGGGCCGGTCCCCATGAAGACCAGTGTGAAGGTGTCTCCTGTTCACTCAAGGATGCCAACTCCTAGCAGCAGAAGGTATGTGTTTCTCCTCTCCTCTCTCTCTGCTGGTCCATCTCTTTTAGTGGAAGTTTATGATGTTAGATGTAAGGCTGTTGATCCACAATTCATATGTGGTCAAAACCAGGAAAATCCTATCTTTATTTGAATAATTCAGGTAAAACACAAGAAAAAATAAAATATTTGAGGATTTTTCAAAACATTTCAATTCTTTCCAGTGGAGAATAGTCAAGTATATAATATCAATGCATAATTATATTTGTTAGTCACTACAATTTAACCTAAAATTTCACCAGATCATGGCAAAGAAGTTTATTTTAGAATTCATAATCGTATTCTATGTATTTTTTTTGTATTTAGCTTGATTTTAAAATTAAATTCTTAAAATGAATTCATCATGAAGGTGAAAGACAATTCCTCATCTGCTTACTTAGAGTCAACATAAAATGTTTAATGCTAATAGAAATCAAGATGAGTGGTTTCCATCAAATGTTATTTTTAATTTAAAAGTATACCAAATGCTTAAAAATAAACAAAGCTTTATCTAAGAACTACCAATCTAATAAAACAGAGTCCTGTCTAATGAATGAAGTTACATCATAGAAATGGCTTCAAATAAAAATAACATTGTGGTCATATTAAAATAATATATTAATGACAGCTTACAGAAGTCAGACTGAGTATCATGTTTTACATATATTGTACCTTAGATATTATTATCATGTTTTACATATATTATATATTAGATATTCCTATTTCCAGCTTATATTAGTAAACTAAAACTAAATTGAAGGACTATATAATATTTTTATTTTATATTTTTCATATCTTTTATCGAATTAAAATAACAAGGTTATACTTAGTATCAAGTTCAGAATTCTAAATCCACTTATTACAGTGTCTATTGACTGAAATACTAAAATTATGATTTTTTTTTATTTGTACAGTTACTTGCACACTGAGAAACATTCATTAACTTGGATAGTTACAGGATCTTTCTGGAAATTTTAAACAATGTTTTAAAGAATTAGTGAAAGAATGATGTATGTATCACTTTATGCTTTTTATCTAGCTATTAATTCAATTACCAACCCCCTGTATTCTTAAAATTATGCATTTTCAAAATATTTTTTGTTTTGTTTTCTGTATCGATTAGGTTTTAGATAAGCTAAACCTTAAACAATAGCCAAAATTTAAAATTTCACTGAAATTTAAAACAATCAGACCATATCACAATGGTGAACTACATATATTGAAAATAGCTAGAGATAATTTAATAACACCTCATACCCTTTGTAAATAAAAGTAAATTACTAAATAAAAATAGTGTAGGAAATGCTAACTGCTATTCCTCAACTAGAACATTCAGCATTTATCCATATCATTTAATTTTAACAAGTGTCATTAGAAATGGTGCATCATTTTTTCAAAGCCAGCATTTCATTTTAATACGGTGATACAAGTGGATCTAAGCTGCTGTGTAGAATATGACTTTAAATCAATAAAGGTATAATTGGTCATGTACTTCTCATTTTTGACTTTTTTTTTTGCTTTTCATTTTTCCAAGCAATACTTTTGTGTCAGCATAGAATATCACTTTAAAAAGTTATTTATTCTGTCATTAAATAAGTGCTTAAATTTCAGAGGAGTTCATATTTTAATTTTTTTTTTAATTGAGGTTTTGGTGACATCATTGTTGGCGTGTTGGAATGACGGTCTCTCTTCAGGTGATATTACCTTATTGTTCCAGGACTTCATACCCAACACGTGTGTTGCTGAACTGCAACATGAGTCCTTCATTCAACTCACTCCGCCCACTGTGATCAGTCCCAATGTACCACAGTAAACTTCTGAGAAACTCCCCATGAGACAGTTCCTGACTCACAGAGCAGCAGAGATGAACGACCACAGAGTAACCTATGCAGAGGTGAAGCTGGCGAAGGGCTCAAAGAGACCCCAAGTGAAACCTCAAGAGGGGAAAAGCTGCACCACAGAGACCGACCAGGGAATAACCTACGCAGAATTAAATCTCCACAAATCCCGGGGTCCTCAGGAGAATGGCAAGTCCCGTCAGTGCAAAGGTACAACATTCAGTTATACACAGTGTATTTTCGGGTGTGCAGAAGGGTAGAAGGAAGGAAGAGTGGGGATAAACTGACATGTTTTCATTTGTGAGGATCAGAATTGGAATGTGGTATTCTAGTAGGAAATCTGATATTTTTCCAGGTATTGTTATAATATATAATTGCTAACAAGCAACTATTCATGTGTAGTTTCTTCCCCAAAATAAGAAATGGTATGTTGTGGAGGGAAAGATTCCAGTGGGAGGTAGAGCTCTCATGCCCAGGTTTATGTACGTGACTCCCTGTGCATGAAGATTCTCTTGTCTGTGAACTGAACACCTGTCTCCGTCTCTCCTTTCTCTGTCTCCATCTCTCTCCCCGCAGGCTCACCGGCTCCTCCCGAGAAGCGCATAGCTGGGGTCTTGGGACTCACCTGCCTTGTGCTGATATGCGTTATTGTGTCCGTGATTGTTAAAACCGTAGGTAAATTTATGAAAGTTATAATGGACTTTTCACATAACGATTGTCAGTGCCTTTAACTATTTCATAAGAGGAATAGAACTATTATGTTATATATTGGTTTAAGTAAATGTTAAATGTTTAATCATTGCTTCTCAAAATTATAAATATGCAGCATGATTGTAGACATTATTTTATATAGATTCAGATATCATGATTCAAAGTCACATTTTAGGATATCGAGAGAACCTATTGAAAACTATGAGAGAATATTTGAGAATTGGTAAC